ATGCATTCCGAATGTTGACTGTGGCATACGGAGAAGCTATCTTGGACCGAAGCAACGTTTATCGGTGGTACAAAATGTTCTCAGAAGACCGAGAAGATGTTAACGACGAAGAGCGTGCCGGACGCCCGAGCACTTCAACAACAGACGAAAAAATTAATTACAGGGGCGTGGTGCATCATGAGTTCTTGCCACAGGGTAGAACGGTCAATAAGGAATACTACCTGCAAGTTATGCGCAATTTACGCGAAGCAATTTTGCACCACGATAACGCCCCTGCTCACACTTCGTTGCTTGTGCGCAAGTTTTTGGCCAAAAACAACACACTAATGATGCCGGAGCCACCGTATTCCCCAGATCTAGCCCCCGTGACTTTTTCTTGTTCCCTAAACTGAAGAGGCCCATGAAAGGACGACGTTACGCTACGATTGACGAGATAAAGACTGCATCGGAGGAGGAGCTGAGCAAGATAAAAAAAAAATTATTTTTTGAAGTGCTTCGAAGATTGGAAAAACCGTTCGCGATATTTTTTGAACACACCTCGTATATCTGTAACAAACTTTTGCACTTTGTAAGCAACAATATAACTATTGTGAAGGATTCGCTAAATAAAAAATAATATAGAGCTGTCTTCGGGCACGCCTAAGTCCTTAAGCCTTTCATCAATTCTGGTGATTTTTATGAAGTGCTTTTAAAGGGTGATTTTTTAGCTATTATTTTTGGCAACTCTGGTTAAAACAGCTGACGCACGTTTTGTGTTTTGTACACGTATCACTGTCAAACGTCTTCAGTTTGGGCTATAATTTAACTATGAATCCTCTTACAAACGAACAACGCTGGCAAATTACTTAATTTTATTATCAAAATGCGTGCTCTGTTAAGAAAGTTCATCGCGCGCTTCAAAGTTCATTTTTGGATTAATGGGTGCATAAATCAACAGAATCGTCGATTTTGAAGTGATGATCAGCCAGAAGCAGAAGAAGAAGAAGATCTACTAATGCAACCAAAAAAAGTCACAGTTTGTTGCGGTTTATGAGCTGGTGGCATCATTGGAGCGGACTTCTTCAAAGATGATGCGAATCGCAACATAACTGTCAATGGTGAGCTGATGATGATATTAAACTTTTTTTTTGTCCAAAATGCAAGAGCTTGACTTGCATGACATGTGGTTTCTCACAAGACGGTGCCACATGCCACACAGCACGCGTAACAATGGACTTATTGAGAAGCGAGTTCGGTGAACCTTTTGTTTCACGTTCGGGACCGGTCAATTGGCCGCCTAGATCTTGAGATTTAACGCCTTTAGACTATTTTTTGCGGGTGTACGTTAAATCTAATGTCTATACAGACAAGCCCGCTTCAATTGAGGCATTGAAGGACAACATTGAAGGATTTATTCGTGAGATTATTGGTCTTAGCGGATGGACCTTTTGAGGCGCAGTCACGGTCAATATTTGCATGAAACAATCTTCAAAAATTAAATTATATATCGATACAAATAAAGATTTCATGCTTTTTTCTGAATTTTGTGTTTTATTTTTTAAACTTTCCTATAGCTCTTTAAAAATCACTCTTTAGTTCATGCCAGAAATACATTCAGTAGGATTGACATTCCCTATTGAAGGGCGACCACAAGTAGAAAAATTAACTTATTTCTTTTTTAATTTTTGGATGTTAATCGAACCAAAGCATTATAATTATTTTTTTGACAAATTTAAGACCTAAACTTTCCAATATGCAAAATCGGAGGTATATATGCTATAGTGGTCCGATCTGTTTCGACACATAATCGTTTAAATGTACCAGGACACCCCTGGTAAAAGTGCTTAAAACACGCGTTTATTTTATGCCGTAGTTTCCATATTTTTGATGACATTTTCTTCTAATTTGGATATTTGATTTAAAATTATTTTATTATATTTACTTTTCCTGGGACTTGCACCCTACATTCGGATATTAAGATCCCTTACAAATCTTGTTATTCAAAAGGAAATGCAAATATTAAACATATTCCAAGTAATTGAAGTTATTTTCTCATTTTACATACAAAATACTATACTTTTCAAAGTTAAAGACATGTGAAAAAATTTGTATTGCAACTTATGTTTTTATTGTAATAAGAAGGAGGAGCAGAATATCCAGCAATATTTATACCGGTGATCCGTCTGTGTGTCTGACCCAAATTAATCTGTTAGTTTTAGAGATATTTCAACCAAATTTGGTAAGCACCTCTGCTACTATTGGTCGCTCTACTAATACGCCGGCTACCAATCCTGAGCTGTATGAAAGCCCAACTGGTCTGACTGGAGGCTTTAAGCCCAGTACCACGGGGAACAGGAGCCCTCGGAGCTTGCTCCGACCTGAAAGGTCCTTCGGGGAGTATCGTGGGGGCTGTGGTTTAAACCCAAATGCGAGAAGAGTTGGTGTGGAGTGAAGTTGGTCAACTCGGTGTAGAGTAGCATTGCTGCCGAGTGTCGGGCCCATAGCACGTCAGAGGTTTTAGATGGATCTCGAGCGTAAGCAAGGTGCCCAGTGTGTCCATATCACACAGCCGATTGAAACCATTGTTAGTAATACTCTCACTACAGGGTGCTGATCAACACTGATCTGTTGTGTATTTGAACACCGTGAGGCTAGGCCGTCGACGGCAGGTACTCACGTTAAACATCTCGAACACTGTATTGGTCTCTATACTCAACTGATTAGCATTGCATACTAATATTTGGAAGTCCAGGGTTGGAGTCCTGGTTCGACCAATATCCAAAATTAGTTTTATATAGTTGAGATCGCCTCCCGCTAGAAATATCAAGCACTCTTAATGTATTTCGGACATGAACTATTGTAATAAAGCTCCTCATAAAAAACCATCAGCCGTTCGGAGACGACTTAGTACAAACTGTAGATTCCTCCGTTTGTTAGATGAAACATCAAGACGCATTCCAGAAATCGGAGGAAGAACTTGGCCAAAGATCGCTTCATCAATATAAAATCATCGAAAAATATATTAACCACAGATCAATTGTATTAACAAGATCACGAACTGTCCATCGATAGAAAGACGCTGAATAAACATTACTGGAGTCGGTCGATCGAAAACCGCTTCAGCGATCAGCATTAACACATAAACAGCTTTTCTTTTTGGAAACCAATTTATCAGGAAGAATCATAAATTATAAATTCTTTTGATTAAGTTCTCAGTGCTCGATGCAGGATATTCTTGAGGAAGGAAATTATCGTCATTTTTCGCAATCAGTTTCTGACTGCCACTGATCAATGGTCATCAGTTTCTTGATTTTCCACTTATTAATATTTCTCAAATTTAGGAAGTTAGTCTTGCCATAATACCCATGGCAATCAACTACAGCGGCTGCCATTTCGCCGTAATAAAATGTCATAAAATTTGTCATAATAACAGAGGCTCAACAAATCGTATTTTTATGCATTTCAGAACCCAGAACCAGAAGGAGAAGAGGTGGCCAGTTAAAAATTCATACCGATCGGGTCAGAATGATCAGTTGAGTAGATTTAGCCATGCCGGTCTGTCCGTCTATTTGTGTATAAACCAGTCGCTCACTTTTAGAGGTTTTTGTCATAATTTTGTCTTAAAAACATCTGAAATCGAGAAATTTGGAATTCTGCGGAGGATTATAATATTTAGCGCCCATACAACCGATTTGATCAAAAATGAGGTTTTGGGGGAAAAAAATCAGCCAAAACAGTATTTCTAGACGTGAAATTCGGCTTCGTATATATGTACATATATACAAAAATATTTTACCACTGAAAATCGTCAAAATCGGAGGATTATAACAAATAGCGCCTATAGAAACGATTTCTTCAGATATGAGGCTTGGGTAAAAAATCCGTCAAAAAAGCATCAAAATCATCGAAATCGGAAGATTATAACATTATAATCGAATTGTTCAAATATGAGAAATAATTTTTAATCCTTAAATGAAATTTGAAATGGTCATGCAAGGTATAAAGATTTCAACATGGACGAAGACTTCGGCTCTTTTTTATTTTTATTTATAATTTTTTTTTTGTAAGCTATGCTATATATATCACGAATTGTCATCGCCGTTTCAGTGACAGTTGTTCTTGTTTTCTCACGCTCGAAAATGTCCGTTTATATGCCTAATTCTCGCCATTTGCGGGAAGTTTTACTTTTCTGTTACAATTCGAAAAAAAATGCAGCTGAAGCGCATCGAATGCTCTCAGAAACTTACGGTGATGCTGCTCTGAGTGAAAGAACGTGTCGGGAGTGGTTTCAACGTTTTAAAAATGGTGATTTCGATGTCGAAGACAAACATGGTGGTGGAAGAGAAAAAACCTTCAAAGATGAACAACTAGTAGCATTGCTTGATGAAGATTCGTGCCAAACCCAAGAATAGCTTGCCGAAACGTTGGGAGTGAGTCAGCAAGCCATTTCAAAACGTTTCAAGGCCCTGGGCATGATTGAATATCAAGAGCGACATGACAAAGTCATCCGCCAACACGACAATGCTCGGCCTCACGTCGCAAAAGTGGTCAAAAAGTACCTGGAAACGCTGAAATGGGAAGTCTTGCCCCACCCGGCGTATTCCTTAGATGTCGCCCCTTCTGACTTCCACCTATTCCGTTCGATGGCACACGGCCTGGCAGATCAACATTTTCAATCCTTCGAAGAATTGGAAAATGGATTGCTTCATGGATAGCGTCAAAAGGGGACTCTTTTTTTCGAGCAGTAACGATGGGAGAAAGTTGTCGCTAGCGAAGGACAATACTTTGAATAATATATCTGTAAGCACTTTTAATTTTGGGAAAAAACTTTGTACACCTGATATGTTAATAAACTCACAGCATTTGTTAAATAATTGAAAAAATAAATAATTTCAAATAAATCCTTTTCGGGTTTATGGTTTACATTTAAACTTGAGTTTCAATACAGCTTGGAATGAAAAAAAAAACAGTTCACCGTTCAATAACTTTAAGCGCTTTTTCTCAGACGAAGCTTCACTTACCTTTGTAGGCGATTACACCATGTCGGTCGTGTTTACATTTTTATGTATGAGCACAATAGTTGAATAAACTTTTAAATTATCATTTTGATTGTGATTAATATTACAACATTGATGAATATTGATAAATAGGACTAACAAGCCTTAGGCACTCGCGATGGTTGTTATCGTTTAATGTTTAACACAAATGAAAATTTTTTACTAAAAACAAAAACTATTTATACCCGCACACACATGTACATATTTACGTATGTAATTAGTTATTAGCTCACACAAAAATAACATTAAAATAAACGCACATATTTAGATGCTGACTTATCCACTTCGAGTTTATTTTTGCACTGTTTCGTAGACTACGTTCTTATATAAAGGATAATGCGTGGGTATAAAGATCGTACACTCGTAAAAATCCTTTGATTTCGACAACGACATGCGACTGTTTCGTAACAAGCAAAATTATAAACTAATCACCCGCTTTTTCGAAAACCATAACCATAGCTCACTGTGCAAAGACGATTTTAAACATAAATTCATATTTACCTTTTTAGAGAATTTGAACAATGCGAATTAGATTGTGGATTAGCTTGCATACTCGTATGTATGTATGTAGTATGTATGTACATAATATAATCACTGCGAATCACGAATTGTGAGTAAACATGTTCTATATGCCTTTTCGAGCGTCGATCTGGTCTATTTTCGCATATTCCAAATGCTACATTGGTGGCAAGTGTGAAAATCTCAGTTTGAAAGAATAAATAAAATCTACATTACTTTGGATAATATAGTAGCACTTAGTAGTTAGTAGCAGATGCACTAAGTGTACATACATACGTACATACATACACATGTATATGTATACATGTATACATGTATACATGTATGTAGGCCATCCCATTAAATTCTACTACAATACATTTGAAATTTAGATCAGGGGAGGAATGGTGAGTGTAGCTTAGCACACGTTTTGCCGCCCACAAACATTGTGTGTGTGTGTTTACACCTATACTACTATAGCCACATATGTACCCAGTAAAGAGTTACTACGAACGTTTTGGAGTGGCAAACCATAGAAAAGTGATGTTTTATTAGAGGAAAAATAATAGCAGTTCCACGGCACTAATTTTTAGAGTGATCTTCTGCAAGCGTAAAAATATTTTTCAGCCTTTATCCTTAGCTACTAGTCTCGACTGCTGGAAAGATGAGAATTTTCAGGTCGTTTATCATGAAACCGATCTTTAGAATGATCTTCTACAAGAGGAAAAAAATATTCAGTTATACTTTTACGATCGCGATTTGTTGCGCGATATTCTACTTTTCAATACTTTCATAATATTACCGACTACTAGAATAATGAGAATTGTTTAGGTTTTCTTCTTCCTATGTTGTTTATCATGCACCCGATTTTTAGTGTGATCTTCTATAGAAGGAACAAAAAATAATCAGTCCTTCGATCCCGAGTACAAGAACGATTTTCGGCCAAGCTCCTCCTCCCATTTGTAGTGTGTGTTTTGATATTTTACCAATTAATGGAGGGACCTACAGACCGTCTATGAACGGATGATGGATTTTTACGAAGAGCTTCTTATGTCAAGTCGGAAATATACCCGATAGGCTTGACATTCCCTGCCGGGTCGCAATTGAGAAAAATCATTATCTATAATTTTGGATGTTGGTCGAACCAAGACTTGAATCCATACCTTCTGAATATTTGTACGCAATGCTAACCACACGGCTATTGCGGCCGCATACGTACGGGGTAAGGAATTTTCATCTCTTCTTTTTTCATGTCGTTTTTCACAATCGCGAATTTTCAGTCTTCAGTTCAGAGAAGTGTTGTATGACTTACAAAATCTTTAAAAAAAAATGCACAGGATAATAAATTATCAAGTGGGGAAAGTGCTCAAAAATAAAAAAAATAAAAGAAAACTATGGTGATAGTGGCATACGCAAATGTGTATAAAACGTTTTGAGAACATGAAATGAAATGATTATATGTTTGAAAGAAGTAAAGACATTTCCTAGTCGCACAACGAATTTGTCTCGAATCAGTTACGGGCTCGTTTTCTCCGATACATTGTACGAAGTAGCGTCTCTTACAGTACAGGTCGACGAATTCGAATGCGTAGAATCTCGATAGCAAAGCGAAAATGATCGGATTTGATAATATTTTATATTATGCATATATATATATATATATTTTTCGAAATAATAATATTTGATTTAGTTATCTGGGTATTTATAATATTATTTACAAACAAAAAGAAATTAACTAGCTTATGCTGTATTAAATCTATAAATCATCTCAGGTAAAATCATAACTTTTTGTGTGGAGACGTTAACAGTTTTACGTTTTATTGGATCCGATAATGAAAGCTTCGTTCTTATCATAAGAACTCTTTTACTACTGGGTATGTTTATATTTAGATACATATCTACAAAGGTATGTATGTATGTGTGCACATACTCATAATAATATAATTGGCAACGGACAGCAAGTGAATTTTTTTTTTATTATTTTTTTATGGAAACTCTTTGAAACACCAATATTCCTTTTCTATCTTGAATTCATCTTTAGTAAATCCTTTTTTATTACGAAATTGAAATTTCACATATCGAACATAAACGAACTGTTGTAAATCTTTAAGTATTGTTTAATAATGTTTTGCGATATCACGACAGTTTCGACATGTACGGATTCAAGAGCTCATTCGACGACTATCTGATCTCTTCATTTCATTTTTATCACGGAGCCATGAAGAGTGATAAGAAGCTCGATGGCGACAGATAATATGTACTTGTTGTTAGTAAACAAAATATGCCTATTCGGTGATCTCATTCGTCACTATAAATATTGAAACCGTAATTTGACACTTCAACTGAGAAATAACAGTAGTTAGCTCGTTCCGCACAGCCACTGATGTATATATGTATATGTATGTGTATTTACATTCTATTGTATGTTTATTTGCTTCATCTGTCCATCGGCTTAGCATCGTTATCTTTGGCATAACTGTGCATATTTTATATTTGTAACTCTGATTCGATAGTAGCACAATAACAGTAAAAGGAGATAAGCGTTTCTTCATTTAATTGTAATTTATTTGAAGACATTTTTAATCGCTTTAAAAAAATGCGTTTGTAATATCAAAGACATTACGGTATTGCGCCAGAATGTGCACAGCAGCCATACTACATAACATATATATTATATATACATACATATACAGGTTTTATTTTTATTTATTGCGGCGAAATTGGAAAGGTCAGCAACATGTTTGAGTGCGAGGATGATGACCTCACAAGGTATTGTGCCAGCGTGCTTTTCATTTTTTTTCCGCCTACACGAATGTTGACGTCTTCCAATCAGCCTTCATGCAAACTCTTCTGTCAATCCCCGAAACACTTCTTGACTTCGACCTTTGAGTAAGCCTTTTGTTCTTCCAACGTAGCGCTTTTAATGTCCTCGAGAGTCCTATATCCGGTAATGAACAAACTCTATACAAAAAACACCTCAGTTCATTGTTACTAATGTGGAAACCCGTTCTAACTTGGCAAAATCTATATGTCAATATTTGTTTTCTTAAGAAAAGTAAACTAACAATTTTTCAGAAATGCAGTTCATTGAGTTTTCGATGCAAAATTTAAAACGCCAAACGCGTGTCCCTAATTTTTCTGCGGAGCAAAACCGCAAATTAGTGGCTGAGGTGAAGGTGTGGCCCAGAATTGGAGCTTGACAGATAATCTTCATAATAATAAAAGCACATACGAGAGGATTAGCAAAAGCTCGGCCTGTCGATGACTCACATTTTTTTTATTATTATTATTTTTTTCAATCTAAAAATACTAAATCCCTTGCAATTAGTTTATTAATCTTCTTTTCGAATTTTTGAACGTTCGGTTAAAATGAAGACGAGAAAACGCAAGATAGATGGATAGGCCAGACTAAATTCCTCCACCAACGCAACGCGGCATAATATACAGTGAATACAAATATTCAATCAATGACACTCTGTATATGGAATGATTGCGCCGTCTTTAAATACTGTTTCTAAGTAGTTCCAAAGATTGCAGACCCTACATTTTCAATAGATAATGAGCCCGAGAAGGTCGTCCACTGATGGCGTAGCTCTGGTTAAGTCCAAAATTGACGAAAAACCACTATTGATACAAGAAATAATTGCCAATGAACTGAGCTTGAATGCCACGGCAGTATCGCAAATATTAAGTATTCATCTGGGACACACGAAGAAATCTGCTCGATGGGTACCACGAATTTTAAATAAGACCCAAAAAGAGGCTCGAGTGCATTTTCGCTCAATTTTTCCTAAACAAATTCGAAAATAGTCAATATTGCAATGAAAGTAAAGTCGTTACTGGTAACGAATCGTGGTACTAAAAGTACGATCCAGAAACCAAACAGCAGTCCATGGTATGGAGCCCAATAGGAGAAAATCCACCCGTAAAATCTAAACAACAAAAATCAGCAGGAAAAGTAATAATGTCAGTTTACTTCAACCGATTCAAAATTGTAGCTGGGATTCCACTGCTAAGGGGTCAGATGGTAACTGCAAAATGGTAAACCAAAGAGTGCTTACCAAAAGTTTTAAAAAATTTATTTAAAAACAGGATGAAAGAGAATTCTTTTTATATCTTGACAATGCGCCGGCCCACTCTGTTGAAATAACGAGTAATTTTATTGCGATCTTTGGAATCGAAGAAATACGACCAGCACCATATTTCCACCTTATGATTTCTGGTTATTTCCGAAAATTAAAAAAAAATTTAAAAGGAAAGTTCTTTAAAGCAACGTGGAGATAATTAATGCGGTTAATGCTGAACTTGATAAACTGAGAAATAAGTCAAACAGTTTTCAGAAGTGAATTTATGGGCTTAAGAAGTGCATTGAAATCAATGATGATAATGCAGAGTAGGTAAGAAAAGGACAAAGATTACGATTAAATATAAAGATAATTTTTGTTTGGTTTTTTTCTGGTCAGCTTACCGAGCTTTTGTCTACACCCTCGTGTATATTTCAAAAACCATAAAATGCTACCTTTACTTTGGTTTCAAAATAAATACCAGAAGGAGAAAATATAGAGCTATCAAAAATTATACCTACCGCTTCAGAATGATTTGATTTAGTCATACCCGTCTTTCTGTCTGCTCATCCGTACGTGTGTTTGAATGAAGAAATTCAATCATACTTGGTACGCAGTTGTATTTTTATATTTTTTTATTAGCAGACCTGGCCACATTTTATTGTGTGTTTTTTTTTTACTTTTTTTAAATTTTTATTCTAATTGGTATTGCAAAGAATGATAAAAAGTCCCTATTAAGCATCATCTAATACAAAATATTAAGATTTTTATTATATTATTTACCTACCTCCGTATTTGCTTGCGTGCGTGGCGTAAGCTGAACTCACCATTCCGATCTACGCTTATTCATAATAAGATTGAACGAATAAAAATAGCTTGTAATCCGCAGTCGTAGAATA